AGTTGAAAGAGGCTTAACTCATCAGATGGATAAAAATACAAATAATACAAAGTATTTTAACACCCTTCATTACCCTGTACATCCTTCGGCTTCGCCTCACTGACAACCAAGGTTGCATATTTCTAAAAATTACAGTGAGTATCATATACTTATCCTGTATATGGTAAGCATCAAGTTCTGTGATTACCACATACTCCAACTGAGAAAATTTGTTAGTTCACCTAGCAAAATGATATATCAGCTATCCTCTTATGACTGTGGCCTATTATCTATTTATTGCATGAAGAGACATTTGTCGTATCACTCTGCACGGAGTGTGATAATACAAAGTTATACAAAAATTGCATGCGTTAATTTGATTGGCTTATTCAGCTTCATGAGACGATATTTTCATTGGTTAATCGCTAGGTCATCTGATTCATGACTTGCAAAGATTAAGCCGATGCACATTTTGTCAATGGCAACGGACATATATGATTTATTCAATATTTATACAAAACACTCATGATCACACTTGACACTTGAATTTCTTCTTTTTGTCACATTCTGAAGCGTACAAAATGTTTTAAAAAGTCTAATGTTAAAGTTTGACGTCGAGACAATTACATTTGACCTCATACTGGTAGGATTTCGGTTAACAAAATTACATTCGATCTTTCACAGGTGAATTTTACAAGTACTCATTTAGATACACTGATATAATATGCATAGATGCCAGATATATAAGCAACCCAGTATACTTGGGAAGGTACCGGTCTCATATTATATAATTGAGCAGGACGTTATTCCCCTTAATCTATAAATGAGGGTAGTAATGCCCTTTACCGTCAGGCGTCAAACGGTCATTTTCGGCTACCGTTAGAATTGATTAAAATTTTACCGTGATTCGTCAAAATATCCTTATTGTCGTGATTCGTCAGAGGTCTCAAATAATTATCGTTACCGTTATTTTTGGAAAAAATTTAACGTGATTCGTCAAAATCATTCGATTTTTTTATCGTCTAAAAGAAAGTGCACAGTTTATCTTCATGCACCAAAAATTACCGTTAACGTCATTTGGCATGAATTTTTACCGTTATTCATCATGAGGTACCCCCATTACCACCCTCATAAATGATCAACATAGATTTATGTTTTAAAATCAAACATTGCTTCTGATTGTTTAAATATTTGTGTGTATCACACCTAATTGTCTTCGTAAAGTATTTATCAAATTAACGTTATACATAATGATATATATAAATGTTTCACTTTTATTTTAGCCCATGCATTGCTATTATTCCTCAAATTTCGAAGCGCTCAGATATCCACAGACCATAACCGACTATCTCTACGGCAGATACAATAGAATATGTGTTCCCGATTGCCATTTTAAATTATTATACTTCATGTCAAAATGCCAGATTTTGATTTGTTAATACTAGGGAGACAATTTACTCTATCCTATGGTAAATACTCTATTACCCTTCACGGAGACGCTTGATCAAGTGTGCGCTTTATTAAATACGGATGGTTGTTATGTATAGTACAAGACGTCATAGTTTATTACTTTGAATTTGAAATTTAATAGACAGTAATGACAGAACATTCAGTATAATAAATTAAATAACACATATCTGAGAGGGTGATAGAGCAGATTGTTACCCCTCGAAAAGACATTGTCAACCTTGGCTTCGCCTCATTTGACAATGTTTTCTCGGGGTAACAATCTGCTCTATCACCATCTCAGCTATGTGTTATTTATATAGAATTGTATTTGCTATTGAGTATAGAGGTTTTTTGGCTGCCGAATCAACTGCTGTTACAATATACTGGATTTTGCAATCGTGTACAGCAAATTTTGATTCGTGTTACCTGTTGCATCTGCAGTACCGATAGCCGGTAATTAGGTGTGGTTATTGAACACATTTCTTTATCATCGAAGCCGGATGACCTTGAGGGAATCTAATTTTGTGCTATCTACGAGAATTAATGCCCTTTTTATTGACAAGTTTTTGTACATACAATCAACATTTCCAATTGATACAAACTGTGTTCCTTCACTCGGTGACTTGCTACTTTATTCTGTCAGGACAGTGGACCCCTTCCCTACATCTCACTTCTTTTGCTACTCGAAAGCTATATTAAACCAATTAATGTATCATATTACTTCTTGGCTGTATATCATTCTAAGTGTAACAATATATTCCTACATCATGTGTATTTAGTGTATTTAATACAATTAAATTTGTAGTCATTTTTTCCCCTTCGTTATGTTTGATATTCTATTATACTTTTTGTGTGGGGGGAGGGGTATTAATGAATTTATTGGTTATTTTAACTTATTTATTTAAACTTCGCCCTACCCCAGTTTCTAAGCATTTTTAAAATATTTTTTTTAATTATAATTTGGCTTAATATAATATACAAATTCATCTGACAGATGCAGCACTTCGTAAATGTTCTATTGGTTGGCATCCCGGATACGGTGGCAACTGTTACTATTTCATGCAGTCGATTCAATGCACCGTTTTACAGTGCAATGATAAGTTATAATTAATGACAATGGTAAGCTTATTGACAAATTAGACGTTCACATAAGTATATGTGTATTACACAAGTTGACAACCATGACGTATAAACTAACATATGATAGAAGCTTATTGATTATTTTTAAACTAATGCAATGTGTAGAAATAGGTGGCTATATAAAAAAACTATAGCACAAATGAAACAAAATGTTATATAGTTATACTTGCCAACTTGAATACAGCGCATCTGGATGGTTTGTTGTCATACGTCGAAGAAATACTAGTCAAAATCAAATAACACCTGACTTAATCACTCCCTGAAAAGATACACATATCCAAAATATCGTTGGTCTACCAAGCTTTAAACGAAAATTCTCAGAGAATTGATAACACTAAAAGAAAACTGGAACTTTTAAACAGGAACGGAGCAGACTTGGAATTGTATGGAGATGTATAATTATCTTATATTTGTCTCTACATGCTCTTAAGTTGAGATGTTGTCTGTAAAAAAGGCGGAAGATACCAAGGGGACATTAAAACTCATAAGACGAAGAATAAATTACAAAGCCATGACAAAAAACGACAGTCGACAAAGAAGACGAACAAGTTTAAGCCGAGAGTGGTATCAGGTTCTCTGGTAGTGTATGCATTTCCTGGTTCACATATGGAGTAAGCTTTCGTTTTAATTCTACGCTGGTTAGGAATAACCATATCAGTCAACGCCGCTAACAAGTATTATGAGCGAGGACTTATTAATGCATTTATAATCAGACTATTTTCTGTACACTGGTCTTTTTATAACGCTTTTGAAATGCTAATTAATGTGATGTGACTCTTGAGGCACATACTCGGTATACTGTGTTTGTGTCAAATGGATTAATATAGGTCTAAATCAACTCATCAAAGATACCAGGATTAAAATTTTGTATACAGAGTACTCTGCAATTAAATGGTTTTATAATAGTTTCTTAAAAAAATTAAACAATACTATATAAATTTCATGCTTTCGAAGCGCTTTTCTGGATTAGCCATGATTAGGAACGCTCAAAGTCGAATGTTTGCAAGCCAAGGATGTATAAGAACCGAAACAGTTGAAGAGCTGAAAATAATAGCCAATTCCACCAAAGGTCAATTTTTCCTGAGGGAGCAGAAAGACCCCGACATGAAAAATGTAAAAAAAATTAAAACAAGAAAACAAATTGCCTGATTCATGATAAAACAATAAATGTAAGACAAATATGACAGACAGGAACAACGACAACCCCTTTATGACAGGCTTCATACTTGGGACTGGCACATACAATATGCGAAGGGGTTAAATAAGTATGCTCAACTCACCTTCCAAACCTGTGACAGTGGATTAACAGCACAACATAAGAACAAACTGTAAATTCATCAGACCGGTACGAAGCAAGAAAATCATCTAATAAATATACTAAAATACAAAAGAAGAGAATTACCGATCTCAGTTGATCTAGTCGTCCACTATCGAAATAACCGTACTAGCTTTAGAGAAATTCAAAATAACTATACTTGATTTATTGCTCGTCCCGACTATTGTTTCGTTGCTTTGAACTAATCATTCTCATGCATGAAAGACGTGTTTCCAATTAATCCCAATATATAATAACATAATTTACTCTTATCTAAATATGATTGCTTTAACTGCTGTTGGAGCTAAACAAAAGTATATTTGTAGGACTCTGAACCGCGATGGCCACGCTGATGTGCGATGGTTTGACGGTGAAATGCGATGTTGGCATTATTACGCTACCTTGTTGATAGCTACGCCGAAGTCGCTGATGTGCGATAGACTACATAGACTATATTTTCAATGCTTTGCATGTCGATGTAGATGTAGAAGTCCATTTGTTTGTTAGAATCAGTTTTTCGGGTTTTCAAGTTAATAAGGGGCTTATAAACTTTTAATACTACGGGAAACTGGGAGTGATAGGTGGAGAGGGAAAAGTTAATCTTCTGTAGAGGATTTTTTTCGAAATTTACAACAGGTTCTTTTTATGTACGATGGAGCGTGGCATTCTCTTAATACATATATTAGTCCGCAGACAGACTCTCCGTATTATAATAGTACGCTAAACGTGAACTCACGAGAGGAACCAAGTAAAGATAAAATGTTAACGTAGAATTATGTTCACGTGCAGAAAATCAAAGAGGACGATCTCTCATTTAGGATGCAACTGTTACTAATGATATACATAGACAATAAACGAATGCAAATGTATATACTAACTATTAAAAAAAATTTACTTTTCATAGGCCTAATGATTAAACATCTGAGATTTTGAAAGAGCCATCACGCGTAATACAGACCATCGCACTTCAGTGTCCACATCGCACCTCCGAGTCCTGCATATTTATTGTTGAGCTAAAGTTACTTAATCTGGTGCTAATTTTTTATATGGATTACATTGCTTCTGTACTAGATTTTCATGGTAAATGTAGGTTTATTTCATTTAATATTATTTTCAGAGTGTTTGCAAAACGGCTGGTGGAAAACTGGTTGAAATTGACAATTATTGGGAGTTTCGGACACTATCGCGAATGGCAAGGAATAGAAGTAAGATCAAATCTTTTACATATATAGGGAGATGGGAACTATTGGTATATTATTGTGTTTCTTGGTTTAAAAATAATTCGTCACCTGATTATCAGTGTAGGTACCAAGATCTAATGGCAAGTGAATGATTAAACAAATTCCAATTACCTGGTATATTGCTAAAAAGTAACTTTCGTGTGTTTTCTTATGTCTAATCTTTAATCTGCGGAAGATTTAAATGTTTATCAATTTAATTGGTTCTGTCAACACGGACAACTGAAAAAAAAACGAAACGTGCTCGGCACTCTTCGAACATGGTATAATGAATTCAATTAATGTTCCCATTCCGATCGTCAAACAGTCAAACAGACAACCTTTCCCGAATTGGTCTTTGTGTTAAACTAGATAGTCCAAGTGACCATAAAATGTAAATGTATATAATGTAACCCTTACTTGTGTATACAGTATTCGGTGGTTGTCCCCTACTTGTCATTACTATTTTCACTTTTCCTTAATATCCACAGTATAGGCCTTTCTTATTTTAAACACAGTCCATTATGGTTGACTGCTAAGTTTTGAATAGTTCAAGTCTCATATACAGGAAGAGCTCAACCTTTTCCAAACTCTTGTCATCATTCTATCGTAAAATTATGCATTCATTCATTTTATATGATGTGTATAATTACAATTGTTATATTGGTCTGTATAAATTGTTTTAACAGAGAGGTTAATTCGCAGTTGCTTTTTTTTGTACATTTTTGTCCAATTTCCAACGAAGCACTTCGCTACCAAAAGTGAATAAATGTTTATCTACAAGACAATACATAGCTTTAGATACTACTCCCAACAAAGTTTTCAGGCGTTGATTATTTGGCGATCAGTTAAGAAATAATCTGTTATATTGTTAGAGCCTTAAAGTACCACATTAGGCTGTGATACAATGAATTAATTCAAAGACAGTTTTCAAACCCAAATTGTAAAAAGACAAATCGTTGGATATTATAATCAAAAACGAAAATTAAAACACTCCCGGTTTTTTAATTTTTGTTTTAAGATATCAAAAACGAAAAACGAAAACATATATTGATAAAAATCCCGGTTTTAAAGATATCAGAAAAACGAAAAGCGAATGGACACAAATATACACAGACCACATCATAATAGTCTCATAACGTATACCCTTCTGAATGCGGAATGTAAAATATTGAACATCGGTTACTTTTGATATTTGATTGCATGTCGAATACGGAATCTAAAATATTGAAAATTGGCTACTTTTGATATTTGATTGCATGTCCAATGTGGAATCTAAAATATTTAACATTGGCTACTTTTGATATTTGAATGTCAAATATGGAATTTAAATTTTTGAACTTGCTACAAAATATAACTTTTCAATTTTAAATTCAAGGATTTTTGTTAAAATGTAAATATTGCCACGTAAATTCGAAATTGTGAAAACGAGTACTGATAATCAATATCTAAATCTGCAATAGTCACTTGCTCATTGAATTAACAGAGAAAAGAAAACATAGAATGAATAGGCAATCGTATATCGTGGTCATTGGTAAGAGCTTTAACGTCATATTTTTTCTTTATATTTTAAACCATGTTATGAATTGCAGGGTTCCCGGAATTTTGGCTTGGCATAACAGACATGTACTCGGAAGGCACTTGGCAAAAAGCTACATCACAGAGGAGACAGTCTTATTTCAACTGGATTTCGGGAGAACCCAATTCTCATGGTGGACAAGAAAACTGTGTGTGATGGTGTATACTAGACATAACATGAAATGGAATGATGCACAGTGTATCGCCCACTTCCCATTTGTTTGCGAAAAGTGAAAAGGCCAGACTATAAATTCCTTCCTTTTATAAAATTCTTTCTGAATTAATACTATAAATTCCTTCTTTTTAGAAAATTCATTCTGAATTAATAAACTTTGCATACTGTTATATTTCCTTTTTTTATGAAAGACTTTCGTGCATTTCAGCTTAATGTATGTCTTCATTTTCACTCAAAGTTCTACCCTTGACTGCGCCTCAACTTAACTGACAAAGATTATTCCTCACCTTTGCGTTGTCCATGCAGTTTTTGTGTCTTTTTGTTACCCTAAAGGTCTTTCAAATTTGAATGGCCCATTTTCAATCGGAGAAAGCATAATGTTTTCTGGTCTGTCTGTTATGTTCGTCTCGTTTCAGGTTAAAATATTGGTGTAAGGTGGTTGTGGTCACGAACACATGAAAATTACTACAGATGTTATGTATGATGTGAAATTTGAAAATACATGTCAATAAGGGTTTTGAAGCAGTTTTCACGGTTCACTGAACATTAAAATGTGATAGTGTTCTTGTTTCTTATAATTCTTATCGAACCAGAAAGTCTACATCTTTTCACATTATCTAGTCATGTTTATGCAGTAAATATAATTTGTTTTACTTTTACACACGTTTCAATGGTCATTAAAAGTTTACCAAATGAAAGGAGATGGGGTTGTGGTTTCGACAAGTGGATAAATATATGTAGTCATCTCTGACAAATATATTCCAAAACGGTCAACCAAATCGTAATGGCATCTGTTTTTTTTTTTTTTTTTTTATTTCACATATAATGGAGCGGAACGCAAAGTTAAAGGACTACACTTGCTTTTTTTTATTCTCCTGCAGAAGAACATGACAACCTGTTTAATGCCAGCCCAAAACGAATATATGAACAAGTCAGCAAGAAGGAACCCCAGCTGGTTCCCTTAGGAATGCCGACTGTCTGTAAAAAAATATGTTGGCAATAAAAAAATATCACATCTTGATGATGCCAGTTTCAGAAAACTTTTTGTTTGAATCAGAGTGGGATCTTTTAACAGAGAATAATTTGTTCATCCTCAAAACAAAAGAGATTAAATCTATGATGGTCATTTTCTATAATGAAACAAAAAGTTAAACGTTACTCTTTTTATCCATCTCAACAGAGACCTATATATATACCTTTGGTTATCATGACAGAGCTACACCATAATTTAAATATACTTCGTCACAAATTTATCCCAACAAAGTTAGATCTTCAAATTTGCGTTAGAAAATTTTTGTTCTTCGACTAACTAAAGCTATATCTTTATATAGCCTAGTTGGTCGAGTGGTTTAGGTCGCTGATCACAGTGCAGGCGGTGTTGTCACGATGTCACAGAAACAGGGGTTCGAATCCTGCTGAGGGAAGAAAACAAAATTGCTAAAACGCAAATTTGCAAATCTAACATTGTTGGGCTGAATTTGAGACGAAGTATATAATTATGGCGTTAGCCCTGTATAACCACGGGTTATCCGATGGAGAACGTATGTCGTAAAGTTGTCACATGTTTAGATGTAAGCATATACTCTTCAAAAATCCACTTTCAAACAATAACTGTAAGCAATTGAAAGGCATACATATAATTATATCAATGATAATAAGGTAACAAAAGAATTATCTTTCAGAGTTGAACTTCTCATTAGTGATCGTTTTTATGGTGTGGATGTAATTATTTTCAGGGGCTCTCATGACAACGCATCTTATTTTTCTTTGTAATAAATCAATATTTTATTCGGGGACACGACCATTTTGCTGCAGAAGAAATCTGTGTTTAAAATGAAAATTTCTCTGGAAGGTACACAATGATCAATTAATGATTAGTATTCAAAGTTTCGAGTTATATCGCTTCAATAATTTATGTTAGAATTTGAAAGTGTGTCCCCTACCACAGAATCTTCTCCTGGATTTAACTTTATCCCGTTATCCTTAATCTGGTTGTATAAATATTCTAAAATATTTTTCAAAGGGGTAAACTGTTTTATAGTAAGTCTTTCGATATAATTTATAAGTATTACATATATTTGGATATATGTTTTTCAAATAGCAACATATGCACGAATATTACCCCAGGAATAGATTACCTTAGCTGTATTAGGCAAAACCTTTCAGAATTTTGGGTCATCAATGCTTTTAAACTTCGTGCTTCATTGGGCCTTTTAAATTTTTTTTAATTTGGTCGCCACTGATGAGTATTTTGAAGACGAAACGCACGTCTGGACTACACAATTTTTTTTTTTGATTACACAATCTATAATGAATTTATTGAAAGAATCACAATTTGTAAATGGGGAATTTATTTTATGAAAATTGTATGTCATCAAAGGGAAGCAACTGCAACGTATTACCTTTTTTCTCTTAAGCAATGAGTATTGGGTATTCAGTATCTAATAATTATAACTTAGCATTTTAAGCATTGTTTATTTGTATAAAAAAAATAATAGACGAAGTAAAATCAAGTGATATTTAATTTCCTTGAAGAAATCTAGTGGGTTTTTTTTTGTTTTTGTTTTACTATCGTAATTTTTCTAATTATACTATGATCTATTATCTACAGAATAAATGATAGGCTCCTGACTTGGGACAGGCAGATGCAGATTTTGGCAGGTGTTAAACTAGTTTGCTGGCCAACCCTCCCCTAACTTGGGACAGTGGTGTAACAGTACAACATAGGAACAAACTATAAAAATCAGTTGAAAAGGGCTTATCCATCAGATCGATACAAAGAAGAAACACTTCTAACAAAACCACAGACCGGACGAGGCAGGGTATTTCATACATCCCCATAACAAAAAAGTGCAGATCTTAGAGTACTCGCAGTTACTGATAGCTAGTTAAAAGCCAATAACATCTAATAAAAAAATCATGCATCTACTACATTATTTCTATTGGGCAATTATTTGGACTATTGTATCACAATTACCATTGTGAACGCGACTCCTCGGGGACCGTATGACAAAAAACTCTCAAACTTGGTAAGATTGTTCGTCATCATGCGCGGTTGACCATATCTTACCGCCATTTTGATTCCACCATTTCTACGAGAGTTATATATGGCACTTTGGTCTTTTTCTGGATTCTCGTATTACAATGCGCCTTGTAAACGCAAATCCTCTGAGATCGTTTGACAATAAGGTCGGATACCAATTTATGTAGTAGGATTGATTGCCATCATGTATAGTTGACCACATTGGACCGTCATGTTGATTCAACCAACTTGAACGGAGTTATCGTACTTTGATCACAATTAACTTATTTACATGCATCGGGTCCTTCTGTGGTGGCTCAAATTACATTCCTCTATAGTTGGGACAACTTAATGAACCTTACTGTTAAAACCATGTTTGTGTAAATCATTTTCATAAATACAGTCTAACTTAAAGCTTCCAAGTAACACAGCTTAATTAATTTTGTTTCCAATGATTGCTTAAATCATTGATGAAACTCAATATTACAAACGCATTACTGATCACTGAATTCTACGCGACTGTCATACAATTGAGAGGTTTAGCTAGCCCAGGTTTAATCCACAATTTTCTACATAAGGAAATGCCTGTACCAAGTCTGGAATATGGCAGTTGTTTTTCATTCGTTTGATATGTTTGAGCTTTTGATTTTGACATTTGATGAGGGACTTTCCGTTTTGAATTTTCCTTGGAGTACGGTATTTTTGTTATTTTACTTTTTAAAGAGTTATCTTTCTTAATCCATGCCATCCACGTAGTCCATGTAAATTTGTATCCCAAGAATAAAAATGAATTTACATTTGTTTTAGTTATTTTCCGTCTGTTGAATTTACGCCAATATAACATGAATGTAATTAATCTACTTAAAATTTAAAGTCACGCAAAACCATTAGAAAAAAGTCATGTTTGTTTTCAGTTTCTGAATTATTCAGAAAATTTGTCTTGAGAAAAAAAAGAAAACGATACGAAGGGGTAACTGGAAAAAAAACGCAAGTAAAAGGAAAACAGACATCACCATTGCCAAAAGAAAAATGACACACAGACAATAAAAAAGTCAATAGCATACTACACAAAAACTAAAGATCGAGTTTCACGAACCCCAACTAAAACTTGAGATGAACTCATGACAAATGCTGCTACGGAAGGGTAAGCAGTTCCCGATCTGCTAGTGGTATCCGTCGTGTAGATCATGACAAGTAAATACATATAAAATGATAATTTATTTTCCGTGATGCCACAATCGAGGAAATGAGGAAGAGATTATGGTTACAAACATATGTGTGCATCGTTAACACAGATATCCAATTAACGGCCGTAGAGCTTTTGAAGGGCTTTCTTTAACTGTATTATTAAAAACTCTTTTTCAAAGGTTCTCTTGTAAGCAGCAACCCTAAAGGAATTCACAAGCCCTGAAATAACTTATCAACTGGATGATACACTCCATATGCAAGTGCTTCTCTATAGAAATACGAAGTTCACGATCGTAAATCTTTGAAATAATCTCTTTTGTCGTAAAGTTAAGTTCTCAACCGACGCTTGTTGTCAATTTCTCGTGTATGCTTAGTTTTCACTGTAAATCTAAATGATGAAGGAAATTAATTGTTAACGTGCATATTCTTAAAGGAAAAGTCTCATAATACAACTTTAATCAAAGATGAGTGTTAAACTATATTTCTTGCATTGGTTAATTCGATTCAAATCTGATCAAGAGTTTATTTAGAATTTGTTAGTTATTGAAATAAATATCGCCAAGGTGATAAATCGTCATGCAGGTTACATTACCATATTTTTTTCCTATAAATTCTAACTGTAGTGAGTATATTTGGTTTCAACGTCCTTATAGTTCTTGATATAACTACGTACTATATCATTGGCAACTTTAAACCAAATGCCTATAAAAATACATTCATTCGATAAATTCAATACTAGTAGTATTTAAATCCGACTTGTAAAACACCTTCTCTTGTCAAAATCCTATATACAACACCTGCCTATAAGTCATGCCTTGAATTCCAAATTTGACTTTGAATAAAATTTTGAGACGAGTGACATGTATGTTCCTATCGACTGACTTGCTACAATTGATGGCTACGATTATCATTATATGCCCGTCGTAGAAGGGATGGATAAGAGTACACTCTTATGCGTCC